TATTTTTTTCTCTCAGTGTATTTCTCTGTGTGTAGTTACGCTAAAAAGTATCGAAAGGCGATATAATTTTGGCCGGTACTGTAGCTATCGCGCGCTTCATTAAAAGCACCTCGTTAACGGCGGCATGAAAATGCACGACACGGCCATTACCGTATTATATACGCGAGAAAGATCGGGGTGGGGAAGGGAATAAAATTGACGATAAAACTCTCCCGCCGCATACCACGGACGACAGGCCGCGAACGTTACGTCGCCTCGCGTCTCGCGGGGCCGTGCATCGCGATTTCCGGCTGTGCGCCAGAAAGCTTTTGACACGCGCGCGCGACACGCCGGGGAATTTCCGTTTACGGCGCGGCCGTTAGTTAGCGACAGACAAAATGAACGAGGCGGAAAGAAAGCGCCGGGCAACTCGAACGGTTTAAATGCCGTGCTATTAAATGTGGCTGCGTTTCACAAGTTTTTTTTTCCCCCCGTTGCAGGGTGTCGACACCGTCGAACGGCTTAACGAGTCGGGAGAGCTACGCCGCATACTGGAACCTTACCAGGTAAGCTGATTTCGTGGAAGATGGTAAGAGCGTATCCGCAATATCCTCTTCGCCCGCGAGGTGTACTTCAGCGCGGATGTGCCATTCGCCCAGGCGTGGAATTAATAATTTACCGCCGGTGCTTATATCGATTGACACTACCCTCGACACGCCGAGTGCATTTCATTCTTATATAGTCATCATTCTTATATAGTTGTGGCAACTTAATGCATAAGGGATCACAGCCAGACGCTAATTTCAATAACCAGAAGCCGTAACGCATTAGTTAATAAAGCCTCGCGTAACGCCTCGCAAGCTGCAGGCGCAATCGGTTTAAAAGCATTCCAGCCGGAGAAACGTTGCACATAACTTCCGCCTCCATTTTAAATTTAGATTTACTCGTTGAATTTTTAGTCCCTGACGTCAAACGCACGTAATAATATCGGAGATTCAATTATATATCTTCGTAACAATTTCATTCAGACTCGAATTAATTGCGCCAACATCGGGGAAAAAATAGCGTTCTATAATTTTATGAAGCAACTTATGCAACAAGGTGTATTTTTAGATTCCGAAGAGCTACCAAGCGGGCAATAATATTCCGAACGCGGGAACGGAAAAGATTCGATATTCTCTCGGGCCGGCATTTTCTTTTCATCGCGTTATCACGCACAGCTATCATCGAGATTCGTACGATTCGCATGATCGCGTTACACGCCCGCGCGACGCGTTTACTTCCACGCAGAATCGGCCTGTCTGAGGTAGACGGAGAGAACAGCCGGGCTGTGATGAAACGTACACACAAACAACACAAGTAGTCGTGAACGCAAGGTTGTACGATCCTTTCACTTTTATCTCAAGTACGCGCCTCTCTATCTCTCTCTCCTTTTCTCTTTCCGTCTAACCGCCCACCTCCTTTTCCATCGCGATCATAAATTTTGTCGTGCAATTCAGGTTTACCTTGCTGCAACTAAAGGTCGTTTACATCTATGCGGCCATTGTTATTTCTGTGTCGCATACCAGTCTCGTATCTTGCGCCTACGCAAACTCTTGGAATCTTATTCAACGTATTTGATAACTTAATAGTTTGTTTCGTAATTTTATCAACCCCGCGGTTTTTTTCTTAACTCGTTTTGCAGCAACACGATTACGAAAGATTTAAAATTAGAGCGGCCGTGTATCGGAAGTTGGCAAGATAAGATATTTTTTGAAACGTCAACCGTGTACGCAGTTTCTTAATTTTGAAATCCACTTGTGTTGTATGCACGAGAAAGGATTAATGATACGTTAATCGATTTCTATGGCGCATTAGTTTCCTCCTTTTATTTCTGCACGTATGCCAGTCTCAAATGCACCGCGCCTGGTGGGTATTTAGTTATAGACAAGTTTGATATTCGCCCAGGAGATAGTCATTATTCCAAACTCGTTACGTACTCCGTAAAGTCGATTTACATTTCAGGTATTAGACTCGCAGTTAGTAACAAGTAAAAGTGAAAGTGAAAACTATAGTTTCGTAACGTCAAATAAGGTTCGACGGAAGGTCCGAACATCGTTGTCACAAATCCAATTCATTGCTCAAATTTATGCTATTGGATCAGCACTTTCGAGTTTAATATGTAAATTTAATGCACACCTGACAGAAGGCTTTGGGGAAGAAAATGACAAAGCCGAAAGCATTGAGCGCGAAACGATGCTCGACAAAATATTTCTCTTGTTTTATAACATTATCTATTTACGTGTCTCGAGTAATATACTTAGAATTACAGCAACAGAAGCGACTTTGTGACTTAAATTTGACTCCCTCGGAAATGAGGTCCTCTCGCCACACCCAGAAAAAAGATTTATTTAGGCTGAGCGAATGAGATACGTTGAAGTCGCGTTTCTTTAAATCTACTAAATTTTTGTTTGCTTCTGTCAAAAAATTTGCCAGATTTGAAGAAATTGATATCAATTCTCTTAGGCCCGTGTTTAAAGAACGAATTAAGCTAAGCTTAACGTTAAACAATGTTGGTGAAACCGGGCCTCGCGCGAATAAAATTTTGGTGAAGGTAAAGAAGTCATTTCGTCGAAATGAAATACAAGGTCTAGTGAGGTCAAAATTCAAAGAAAATTTGTTTGATTCCACAGAAATTCCTTTTTCCGGGTGCGAGGATTAAACGTACAATTAGCCGAGAATATTTTTAATCGAGCCGTTTTATCACGAGCTTGGATCAGTGTCAATTTATACAATCGAATTTATAGATTAGGAAAACTCAGCGTAATTTGCAATCAGTACAAGGGGAGGCGGTACAGTTGCGATTTAGCTTCCAAATGAATCGGTCGCTGTTTGCCGGGACATTTTTCACCCGAGCGCAAAGAGACAAATGGACGCTACTCCACACGCCGGCGAGAAATTTCCCCGCAAACTGTGCCGCGTCAAGCCGTTGCGCTGAAATCTGTCGACCGCTGCGACAAACGATTAGTTATCACTTTCATAATACGCTTAATTCAAGGTGACGAAACGCTTGCGTTTTCAGTGCAAGGATGCGTGCGCCGTTTGCATCTACTGCGGCGGATTCCAGCGGCTGCTGTGCCCCATCTGTCACGGCAGCAAGAGGTCCGTACACCGCAACGAGTTCACCGTGGAATTCGTCGCCCTGAAGTGCGCAAAGTGCGACGTTTTCGGTATGATACGCTGCCCGCATTGCTGAAGGCGTTTTCCGCGAGGGAATCCACGTACACCTGCTCAAATAATTTCTTTTAATCTCAACGACCGTCTTACTAACTTATATCTCTATTTAAGGTGCTACGAGAGAATATTTTACGCTATGCTTTAAGCAAAGTACATACACGAAACGCATACAGACACTAACTAATCGCGTAGCTGTCGCATGTTGTAAGATATCGGTTAATAAAACTTTGTGTAAAGTTTTGTAACTTTGTGTACCTCACTGGGGGCCTCCTTAAAATTCGAAAGAGCCGCCTCCGCATTGTCCTAAAGGCTCCCCCCCGCCCCCGTGTGCTCTTTTTTCCCCTGGAAATAAAGTTGTGCTGCAATTCTCCACCTCCGTTGTGCGTCGTTCGTTTCGCAGGGCAATTTTCAACAAAGTCGCAGGATTAGTCGCCCTGCCCGTCGAGCGGCCCGACGATTGTCATAGTAACCCGAGCAGACCGTCCGATCTGGAATATCACTTTGTCCGCGTTCCAATTAAAAGCACGAAACGCAGCGGTGCGTCGCGCTGCTGTTTTCCTTGCATTTTACGCGTTACGATTATTAATGTAGCACGAAAGGAAACGTCCTTTAATGACAGGGAAGGAACCTAACTGCCTGATTTTTCATCAAACGCCCGCTTCCTCGCGTAGAAATTAAATAACAGCGGCGCGTAAAACGAGCCATCAAACTTTCAATGTACTTCCGCATAATCTTCACCTGTTTAAGAAGAAGCATGAGGCAACGACTCTTTCTGAAAGTGCGTAAAATAAATGAATGGATTTATTTATACTTGCAGATCAGATGCTAAGCGAGACAAAGTGGCGTACTTGAACCACTATTGTTGCTTCCGTTTACGCAAAAACGTGTGGAGAGAAGGAGGAATGTAAGATGAGAGATATCAGAAGGCGCGTTTGCACGACGGTAGCTTCTACGGCGCTACATTTTGTTCTGTCGGGCGTGCAGAGAAAAGTGTTCTCACGTTTCGAGTGGAGAGAATCAATCGGAACGAGCGCTTTACGCTCTATCACATTTAATTATCTGCAGCCCAATTACAGCGAAGTAAGCCACGATGCTCGAGACAAGTGGAGCAAGGCGGATCGCTGTGAAAATTCGACATAATCGCCTCTCGTTTCCATTCACAAATATTCATTCGCATTTATACGGTAATTAGGTGGCAGCGCTAGGTAAAAGCAAACGTTACACGGCCCGCGCGTTCGCCGTTTACGTCCACGAGTATCTTTACTTCCTGACATCGAAATCGAAATCTCTAGCTCGGCTATATAATTATTTTTTTTCCATTTGCGCTATTAAAATGCAGTTATGTCAGCCCGTACAGCGCGTTTACTTTACTTTCTCCAGAGATACGCGATTATTACAGCAATTTCAATTTCCCGATAATATACTGTCTCATAATTTAACGTGAACTACGTTAAAGGCGGCCGAACACGACATCGGATTGGTTATCTTTATTTACACGTGCAACAAGTTAAATCGATACCGCCGCTGCTATTCCCGAAGACGTCTACAACAAGAAAGTGACTGGTTTGGATCCTCGTCCCGAGCTAATTGGAAAGAAAAGGTAATTCGCGTTCAGGCTGCAAAAAAAAGGAGTGAGTTTCGAATTTTAACATAAAATTTTTCTCTCTTTTATTAACAACTTTAATACTGTTTGAAATGTTGATCCTTATCGCCGGCTTCTTTCGCTTATTGAGCTCGTTAAATTACCCAGTTTCGAGAAACGGTTATTTTATTTCTAATCACATTACCGGCGAGGTGAAATTTATCCGCTTGATGTATTCAATTTAGGCATCAAAAATTAAAACCGTGAAAGTAGGTTTGCGCGCGGGTTTGCTTTGCGCTACTTCATGTACGTACGCGTGCCGAAGGGGCTGTGGTGGAAGCGGGTATACAAACAATTTGAAATCGATCGCTGTTCGCTGGCTGCGTACTTTTACATATTCAGGAATGGGTGTGCACGAGTGTGTCGGGTCATGCGGTAAATGTAAAGGAATAAAAGTACTCAAAACTTTCAAAATTTACGCCTACAGCAGGATTACCTCTTGGATATTGCAGTTTAAGTTCGGTTAATATATAATCGTTAATTTCACGAACGAGCGCAAAGTTAAAATAGCGATCGGCAAATTTGTGCACATCAGTGCGAAAAATTAATACTCTTGTTATATAATTTGCAATGCTGGATTTTAAAAGTTTACTTTTTCATGCATATTGCAACACGCTTATTACAATTTTATGTTATTAAAACGCTTGATAAAATGCTCCTCGAATTCATTTTCACAGCCATTTATTAGCCGATGTGATAAAATCCCGTGTACTAGCTATTGTAATAAAATACAAATGGCTGGGTTAATTATAATGTTATGAGAAATGCACAATTACTTTATTTCGGTAACGTAATAGCTTAACATTATTACGTAAATTGCTGCTGTAATTGTGATTTACGTTACAAAACGAATTACGTTACACGGGTGTATTGCGAAATAGATCGTCGTGGATGTAAACGTCGTCGATAGAATGCAAACTAAGTTTTCTTCGAAACGAATGAAATTAAAGATTGTCAGATAAGTGTATGTTGCAATTTGTCAAGTCCTTCAAATCGATGCATATTTATTCAGCGTGGGATAATCGAGAACGGATTTGATCTAGAATCCGCAGTCGTAGAAGCGGGACACTGCAGGGAAAAAAAAGGACACAGTCGGGAGAAAATGATAGTGCGCGACATGGCTTTGAGTGCAAGTTTCACGTTGAATACATCCAGCACGTGCGGCTCCTCTACGCAAGGTCTTGCAACTCAGTAGTAGAAATGTCAATATGTTTATTGCGTTCTAATAACAACAGAATTTGAAGAGGGTTTATAAAGCTGCGTACAAGCGTGAACGCGGAAGTGTAATCGAGTTAAAAGCATGGGATAGTCGACTCTTCTTTTTTCTCTATGAACAAAGTCAATAAGGTTTTAACGAGCTGATAATAACCGCGTGTTGTTCAACTAGATTTTAGTGGCCCTCGGGAATATTAATTATCTCTCAGTGTGTAAAATTTATGTTTCCTTACATAATTAAATATTTACAGAATAATCATTTATTGTTTTATTACATACCGACATTAATAATAATATGATTTATATTATGCATATTTTAATATTTATTAATTATAATTAATTTATATGTGATTCAAAATATTGAAGTCGTTGTTGTAATGCAATATTCGGACAAGAGTGCATATTATTTGCATATTACTGCATATTTGCGTTAAATTGATTATGATTAATGCAATATTTTCTTTCTTTTTATTAATTTGTGTAACAACCTGGGAAAAAGTGTTTATATCAAATCATATCTGAGTATATCTAACTCAGATATAAGTAGATATGATTTTTGTCCCTAGCCAATTACGTGCAACGTGAGGTAGATATCGTTTCATAACGCACGAATATGTTGGAAATATTTAACGAAACGTATACGATTATATTATCACGTACATATATGATCATACACGATCTACTCGACAAAGACTATAAAAACATTTATGAAATATTTATTAATTAATTCCCATAAAAATTATATTACAAAAGCTATAAAAACGTTTATAAAATATTTATTAATTTAAACATTAATTAAATTTACAGCAGTTGCATTACGCTTTAACAAGAATAATTACAAGCCACCGACGATATTGACATATTTGGATAAATATCGATTGAGTATTAAAGTAAATATTTTTTTATATTTGTACATGTGTGTGTGTGTGTGCTATCAAACGGTATCTAACTCGCGTTTACAAAATGCTCATGTCTGAGTTAGACATATACTCGGATACGATTAGATATGTACACCTTTTCCCCGAGAAGTTTAATAAATGTTACATCATTTCGAGTGCACGTTCGATTTTTATATACGTTTGTCGGTAATGTAATACGTAAACGCGAATGTTCGGTGCGTAAAGCGCAACGTCGTGTCATCCGCGAGACTCGGATCTTCTTCATATTCCACCGCACAAATTGACAACTTATTCGAGCGTGACATGAAGAGCCCGACGGTGTTCTTCTCGTACGAGTGAGCGCAACGTGAATACGATTCCCGTCTGTCTGCGTGTCACGGGACTTAGAAGGGTGGCTCCGGAGGGGCGAGAAAGCCTTTAGCCGCGATCACAGGCGGTGCACTCGATAAAGCGGAAGAGAGCCCGATGACGCAGGTGTCGCGCACTTAGAAACCAAGGTGCGAAGTCGGACGGGGGAGGAGTGCCGGGACATTAAGGTGGACGCCGGGACTACTCGAGAGGACACCGTGGCGCGGGTAATGGGAGAACCGGGGTTCGGAGATCACCGGCGCGCGAGAGCATTGCCAAGGATTGTGATTTAACGATCGCCCCTTGCGTGCAACGAGGCACACACCGCGCACCGGTCGTGGGAGGGTTTCAAGGGCAAACACGTGTTGCGAGCGCTTCGACGTAGATTTTCGGCGGGCGTATGTGCGTAGAGACACGAGCTCTGTGCGCGTAACGTTCGCTACGCGATGCGCATTTTGCAGAGTTTACGGAAAAAAGAGAGCTCGAGGTCATGGAAAATAGAACGAGAGAGTCTCTGTTTATTCAGAAAGCATCAAAACGCGAATGTTTATTGCAGATGACGTAAAAAGCGGCAAAGGGAATATTTTAGGGTAGAGAAGAGATTCGGAAGATTCGGTCATGTAACGCTCCACTTTGTCCGCAGTACAAATAAATATATTTTTACATAACATCTCTCTCTCTCTCTCTTCTCTTCTTCATTTCCTTCTCCCCGTCTCCTCCCGCCTGTCCCTCCGGACTTTAAGTCGCGAGCAAATTAAATTTACAACATTTGCATTACGCCCTAACAAGAATAATTACAAGCCAGCGACAACGGCGGGCGCGAACGCGCGAGTTAATAAACTAAAATAAAAGACCCGCGGCCGGAGGGAGGAAATCGGAGAAGAAACGAGGGAGAAAGCGAGGGCGAGAAGGACCGCGCGACGAGGGAGCGCAAGAGGGAAGTATTATCCGGCACGAGTAGCCGAGGGAAGACCTTCACCGAGACCGAGGAAGGTCGACATTGCCCCTGTACCGTGTGCTCGTAGCACCCCGCCCCATACATAGTAGCGGCAGGCAGGAGCACCCTGGGATAGTATCGGCCCAACGTCACGAGCGATAGCGGCGGCGGCGGCGGCAACCCTTGCCGCTTACCACGGCATAAAGAGGACACCGTCGCCGGCACCGCCACCATCACCGCCGCGCCACCACCACCACCGATTCCTCCTGCTTTACTACGCTCACCCTGGCCTAGAGAGACAGCCTTGCTCCTGTGTGACGACTTGACGGGGGGTGAGGAGCGACCGTGGCAACGGGGGATGCACGAGGGTCAAGAAGGGCGAGGCGAGGAGTTCGGCGAGGGGGATGGACGCAGGCGCGAACGCAGACGCAATAGGCGGACGAAACGGCGCCGAGCATTCCGGCGACGCCAGACAACGCGGCACAATCGAGACGAGATAATCGCTCTGGGACGGAGCTTTAAACTACCCCCCGTGGCTGTCCACCTACACAGTTAGTCCGCGGCGTTCGATCGTGCGTCGACGATGGGAGTTGTGAAGACGGCGTCGGAGAGTATCCTCGAGGAGACCGTGGTGCCGAGCGAGGAAGCGAATTACTCGCAACAGGGTTACGCCGGTAAGCGAGCTAACTCCTTTTTTCGCGTAGTTTTATGGACGAAAGAAAAAAGAGAGACAGAAAAGAGGAGAGAGAGAGAGGGAGGGGGGGGGAGGGGGTCGCGAGGCCGTAGCCGGGGCGGAATCCGACGGGGAGCAAGACGCGAGCGCACCCCGTGCGGTATCAGGTGCGATCAAGGTCGCTCGCTCGCTTCTTCGCTTCGGGCCGACTTCGGCGCAGGAATTCGTACTGCTCGCGACGCCGTGGCTTTAAAGGCGATGTGGCGAGCCGTCCCGCCCGAGAGCGGCTGCTAACAGGTGTTTGGAGATACAGATATACCGCCCGCGGTTCGCCCGTGCGCCAGCACCGACGGGGAAATCCGATCTTCGCCGCGGTGACCGTCGGGCCGTACTCGTAGACGCTCGAGAGAGCCGGCTTGGATCCGCGACGATCTGCGTGGACCGCCGAGGAACGTCGCTCGACCGCGAATTTTTCAGCGGCTGCCCCCGCACCGATCGGCGCTATTGAAACAAATTAACGGCACCGAATTCGGGCCCCCGGGCCGCGACGAGTTGTTTCAAACGCGTTCTTCGAGTTTGAGCTAAACTGAACTGACAGGCGGACCGGGCCGCGTTGTACAACATTGAGGGCTGATAAATTGTGACGTTAAGTCGCACGTCGGCGGTCAATTGCACCGAGTTCTAATAGACCACAGCGTACCAGTTGAATCGGGCGACGCGTACATTGAGCTTTCGACATATGTCTCGGAATTAAAGCGGTTCGCGCGCGATGTCCCATCAACGCGTTAATGTTGTTAGTATCACGACTCAAGTGCGACGGCGCATGCATGCCGCTTTCAGGACGAAAAAGCTTTAACACTATTTATACTTGTAAGAATCGATAAGTGCCGCGATAAAAGTTTTACAAAGAGCAAGGCGGCTCTTCGCCTCTGCGTCCCCGCGCTGTGACGGCGCTGGCGGAAATTAGCAGGTGCGACAGATAGAACATTGCCTGTCGATCATTCGACCGGTTAACGCCTGATCCAGATCTACTTTTCAATACGGATATTGCATTGTATTGATTAAAACCAGGTTACAGTAAACTGACCCAATTTCTGGCCAGGCGAGTAAGTTTCGAATCGATTAGACCGCGCGAATTAAAGCTACGTGGAACATTTGCAAGCTAATTGGCCGCATTACATTTCCTTAATTTTCGAGTTTACTTTCATATGTGGCGCGCCCAAGAACAAGCTACGTTTACCTTGTGATTTTCTGTTTATTTTCGCGGCCGAATTGTTGGTAAAATCTCTCGGTTCCGCCACAAAAGTGTACCCGAGTCGAATATTTTGGCCCCAGTTTAGCCTGGTGTGATTTCTTAATCGGGCGCAACGAGGTCGAACTAAGGTCTTTGTGTCGGAGAAAATATATCTTTTTTTTATCTCGGATAGGCCTGAAAAGATTCCTTCCGCCATTTCGCTTTTAGCAGCAAGGAGGCCGATGCGAGTGTAATCGACGGGGGTTCAGTGGATCCTCTTCGGCCTAAGAGATTTCGAAGAGGGAAATAGTTTATTAATGAGGTCAAACACAATTCTTTTTTACTCATCCGGGCCTCAAATTGGACTTTCAAGCCGAGATCCAAATGAAGGCAGTGTAGAACAATTGAGGTCCATTCCGGGACCAAATGCTCGAAATATACTTTTACGTGTTTCCAAATCGTAAGGAAACTAAAACGAAACGAGACAACGTAACATTACGTTGTGTTAATGTGTCCATCTGTGAAAAACCATTTCATATTGGAACGCAATACGAAGGAAAACGATATCTCGCTGGCAGACTTCATTTAATTCCTGTACCGCCGATATAATGACAGAGGAAAACGCTCCCCGCTAGGGCGAAGAGTACGAAATAACGTGAAATTTTTGTCCCTGGCCTCGCAACTCGCAAGCGGCTCGATAAGAAGCTCGCAACCCCAGAAGCCACACTTAGGCATGCGCTTTCGGGGAGAGCCGTAAATTGATAGCGGGGTATTAAGGGATTGCATAGTTTAGCATAATATTTGATACACTAACCGCTATCATTATAACGACATTAGTACGTTGCCCGCGTAATTAAGCAGCACGGGGCTCACGCGGTATAATTTGATTGATAATAACGTCAATTAACTAATGTAACTTCAAGTGAACAGACGCGCCGGCGATTTTATTTCCAATAAGTTACTGCTTTTCCTTTACTACAAATATATATTATCGCGCAATTAATTTCGCACGTTAATTAGCCGCGGTAAATAAAAAATCTTTTGTCCCTCGGCTGCTCGCAGGGGCTGGCAATTAGTATCACGGTCTGGAAAGGCAGACATTAAATGAGTGGAGTTGGGCAAACCAATATTTGCTTGACCCCAAAGGTAACAAATCGAAAATTAGACGCGACTTCGGGTCCAGAGAATAATTGAGTTAGCGAAACGTTACGCGATTGGTCGTCTGTCGCGGGTTTAAAACGTATAATATTTCCCCGTGACATCCGTCACGTTAGCGCCCCAGCTCAAATTGTACGAAAGCGCGATAATCGATCTCATAAAACAACGATGATAAATTTTGCAGCATGTTTTGTAAAGCCGACTTAGCGTTGTGTATCGGTGGTAACTTTCAAAGTGATTAAAGTTGTGTAAGCTTTTCATGGATATAAGTATACCTGGTCAAGGACTGTAAACTTTACTCGTTGAAATCCTTTCAAGAAATCGCACGTGCACAAGTTCTAGGCATCTGTAAGCAAAGATTTTTCTCAATTAAGCTCCCCTCACGCGTCTGGCCTCCAACGGAAGTTAATCCGTTTCGCCGCACTTTTTGCTTCCCGGACGCATTCCTTGATGCGTGCGTAAAGTGCAATTTCGTAACTAAGAGATAAATCCCTTGTAGACACTTGGAACGGTCAGCTTGAAGTGTCTGCTTGTTGCACAACGGAACGGCATAAGCGCTTGAATCCAAAATCAGGCATGAATTGGAGATAGAACGAATATTGCATATTCAGTGCAATAAAGTGAGAAAGTTAGGGAGGATTACCATAATTTTATTTTTTGAACACCGAATGTATAATTTAATTTAAAAAAATACGCAGCAAGAGGGAGAGAAAATTATTTAAGTACGTCATGTTATATTTAGTTTGCATTGCACGTGTCTACAGACAAAGACACGTCTGGGTGAGCATCAGCATTATTTAAAAAATAACGTTTGCATAAAAAAAACGTCACAGTTAAGTTAACAAAGTTATTATGCATGAAAAGTTGATATGGAATATCAAAGAGGACTTATATCGGGTGTCTTCTATTTAGATGTCCGGGGAATTCGTGATCTTGGATGTATTAAAGTAACAAATATAATAATGCAACGTAGATCCTTGACGGAACGAGATGAACATCCGAGATGGATTTTTATCTTTAGTTCGCACTCAATGTCAGACATTCGTATTCAAGAAAGACGAACTGTCTGCTTTAAGAATAATTTGACCAATTTGTCAAGCCTCGCCCTCGAATTCGTCGCTCGTGCGCTCGGCGAAATTCAATTCCTCCTTTTCGGAGCCATCGATTCCTTCATACTCGGAGCCCCGCTCAGGAATCGACGTCGCATCTATCTCCCCGCCCGCGTTCTGCATCGCGCTTTTCCCTATTTTGTCCGCGGTGGATAATTCATCCCGCCTTTTCAGGAATTGCGCTACGTCGGCCTCCAATCCTTCCCTCGGAAGGACATCGTTTCGTTGCCGGCCGATAGCGTCCAAGAGCATGCTCATTGTTTCCGTATAATCCGGCTCGAACATTCTTCCCTCGGGATTCTTTTTAAATAAATACTCGGCCTGGAACGAGAATGTATTTCAGCGCGATACTTGGGCGCGCGGTGAGAGTTTGGGGGTCGAATAAATATTTCGATACGCGAAAATATTTCACAACGAGTGTAATGGATTAATTAAACTCGTGCGGGTGAAGCGCAATAACAGCGCCGATTAATTATGACCAAGTGTAAAATATGGCGAGGTGTATTTTATTACAGACGCGGGGGGGCGACTTGACTCACACAATTCTTCTTTCAATTGAAACGCGTGTGCACAACTGTTTGTGGCTATTGCGCGGTTTCTATAATTAACCCGGCTGCTCCTGCATTTTTCACTCGTACGCGAGAATACGCGGCCTCGTAATCGGTTTAGAAACAGCTCGTGATGCCAGGTCCTCCCCTATCCACGACCAATATTATGACCCACTTTCACTTTCAATGTCACCCGTCCTACTTCGCTCTGATTTTTGCATCAGAATTCTTCTCGCGACTCAACATTGGACAAACCCACGCGTCGCTTTACCTTCACACCGTTTCAATTCACCGTATATCGCGCGAAAGCTCCGCCGTTGTTTTATTTCTAGCCGCGGCAGTGATTGGCACTACAATGTAGCCTATCATAAATGCCGCTGCATAGTTTTACCGTAAACAATACCTAATGCGGAATCGTTCGACAATAAGCGGAAATGGTGAGTATCAATCGACAGTTATAAAATGTGAAAGTTGTAGGTATTACGCGAGAAACCGTTATGTGTTGTTATTTTGCAATTGTTTATCGTCGAAATGTATCAAACGCCGCGCGCGGCTCCATTATTTTCTATTATTATACCGTGCTGGTGGCGCGAAACGAAATTTGGCAATTAATAACGTTAGAACGTCAATGCCGCCGCTTTTTGCATTGTTGTGGAATACTAATGAATTATTATACACATAAACATCAACACCGGTCGCGCGAGGCTTGTCGCTGTTAATAAATTAGTTACTTCTGCGGTAAGCGTCAACTCTATATTTTACGGGTGCATGAATACCTGCGCGGTGCCAGTATAATACAACCAATACGACCTCGAAATGTCACAGAATACTTTAACAAATGAGAGTATAACAAACAGCGTAAACGATACCTTGCGCTACAAAGATACTCCCACGCCGCCCGAAAGTGTTTTAAACAAATGAGTTAATATAAAGGATTATTAGTGAAAAAGCT